GCCAATCAAACAGAAATGCTCAACAATAAATGAAAAGCTATATGGACACCACAGCAGATGCAACAAGCAACAAGCAAATAGGTCGGACGCGTCTAATTTCCTGATAGGCCCACTCCCCCTCGCAGGCCCTCAAAAAACTCCACCCGTAAATGTAAATATTTTGAACATTTAAGACAGTAAATGGTAAATAATATTGTTGGTCATATTTATTATAATATTATCATCAGAAGTAATAAATAAACTAGTTTTGTGTTACCCATAATATAGACCCATCTCAGGATGTGAGCTGGGTGTGGTGTTCTCTGGACATGGCTCCCCCCTGCAGAGAAGACACAACAGCAGCTTCTTCCATTTGGCTTCAGGACTTTTTTGAGTGTGACTTTTGTTTTTACTCTATTGCGGATTAGACTATGTTGTATACACAAATTATCTATTTAAAGGAGGTTTAAATATGTTAGAATTATAGTGAGTATAAATTGCAACTAAAATGATCAACAAAATGTGAAGGATAACAGTTTTGTCAAAGACATAATATGTTGCAGAAATATCTAGTTAACATAGTGACCTTCTAATTTTTGGCTCATCCTGTCTCATAATAAAAATAAAATAAAAAACACACAAAATGTCAAGAAAGCAAATAGATCACGGTTGTTACGGCATATAATGAATTATACAGGTGGCCAATTCTTACACTGCACTGTAAGAGTTAAATTTTACAATTTTTTTAAAAATCCTCCAAACATGCTGGATCTAGCTAAAAGGCTCATACAAGTAGGCCTACACAAAAATTACTCTGTCATAGTAGAGTAATTTGTTTGTTTCTATTTTGAGTAACAGAAATAAAATAAAAGGACGGAAGTCAAGTCAGGCAGCAATGCAAAATCCTCAGATTGCACCTTGTTGCAGCATACATCAACCACCTACTGTTACTGTTGTTATATCTGTCAAAAATTGTTCCACTGATGCAGACTTTACAATGTCTGTATTTGAAGAAAATATAAAAAATAAAGCGATTAAATTTATTATCATCAAGTGATTAAATACATGTTTTCATATTAAGTGTAGACGGCAGAGGAGCCTTCATGTTTTCAGTTTGTCCCTTGATGGAGACACTCACACAAGGAAATGTGCACTTGGGTAATAGTTACTTAACAGTGGCCTGAAAGATTTGAAATTATAATAGAATATCATGAGCTGTGTGAAAGTGTAAGTGCATAAACCTAATAATGCAGTCCAATATGGGTAAAACTAACACAGTCTAAAAGATTCAGTTTTGGACCTGGGATTTTAGAGATGATATTGCAATGCAAGTATTTCTCTGTTAACATAAAACATGGTTTGATCATTTGCCCTGGAGCGGCCCTCTGGCTTTGGTACTGTAATACATGTAAACCAGCATCGTGTTCAAAATGCTTAAATCAGCATCTTCAAGAGTTTTCCTTAAACTTGCTGAATTTGCTGAGTTAGTGGATCCGCCTTAATTTCCAACCCAATAACAGGAGGTAAATTGTTGTTCCACATTGCACCTGATAAGAATAATTCTCACCACTGAAAATTATCTTACACCTTATGGTCTCTACCAAGAAACTGCCTGCCCTAATCTGCACCACCAAGAAGAGTTTTTACAAATTAATTTTTTTCAAGGTAAACAAACATGAAAATTCCCCCATGTGCAGTTTGGCATCTACAGCTATAGATTGCAAGAATTAAAAAGCAAAGTGGTGCAAAAGGGACATGTATGGAGATTAAAATTAAGCAATTGAGATAATTACGTCTATTGGACAGCCGTTATTTCCAATATCTGCGAGTTAATTTATAGTAAACTATCATTGGGGGATGGTGTAATACACACTTTTTCCCACTAGATAATGCTATTTCACTATGAAAAAACCTTCATAGTGAGCAGTAACCATGTCAACAAAACACTAAAACATAGTTTCTGTTTTCTTTTTCTGTTTTGGAAACACACAAAGTATGTAGCCACAACCACACAATATATAAACCACAGAAGTAGGGCACCTGTATATATAGGTCACCTGATAGAACTGGTTCCCCATGTACCAAGATTGAGTCCTTGCTGCACCACTTGATCTGTGATTGAGTTTGGGTGTCAAAACAACATCCTAGACTTTATTCAGTGTCAGTAAGTTTCTGGGTATGTTTTTGCTGCGTTACGCTTAGACAACTTTTTTTCATACCAATCATCAAATAAAAAGCCATCATCCTCCACCCTTCGTAAAAAAAAAAAAAAAAGACATGTGTATAAGGGTCATGGAAATGTTTAAGTCAGCATAGTTCAAGCAGCTACACAAAAATTGCAACAAGTCACCACTTCCTCTACTTTATAAATGTCCGCCTTAAGGTGTGAACATGATGACAGTTCCTCTATATGCATTATAGTTCTTGTTGCACAGCTATCTGCTAGCTATAGGTGTCATTTTGCAAATGGGATATGGGGCCAGGGTGCTAAACTGTAGATTATACAAAAAAGTGAACTAAACTTAACTGTTAACTGTGAACACTTTGGCCCTAAATAACAGTCTCAGTAGAAACTCTAACAGTCTATCAACAGATCAGCACTTATTCTAGAGTACACCAGCATTAAAGCTGAAAGAAAACAGCAGGACTGAGGAAACTAGACAGTTCAGTCTGCCCTCATGTCTTATGTACCCATATAGATCATTGCATTGTTATGGATTTAATTTATTGTATTCGATAGGGACAATGCAATTGAACATATACAGAGCATGAAACTGATGCGGTGAATAGAAAGTTTATAGTTATTGGTAATTCTTAATCCTTATCCCTCGTAGGCTTTTACATATACAGTGTAATTAAAATATACAGTTTTCAGTATCATGTAACCATTACACAACAGGTATGAAAAAACAATAAAATACACATACCCCAATACACCACAGTAATATGCAATATTATATAATAAGCTTTTTTTCCACTTTCTCTTTCAAACAATGTTTTATGAGAAGTTTTGCAAAACCATAAAATAAAAAGAAAACATATTAAAGGAGAGAAAATTTTACATTTTAAAACACAAGAATGAAGAAGAGAAGAAATTACATTTAAAAAACTCATGTGTTTTAAAACAACAAAAGAGTAAAAAAGGGACGTGATGACAAAGGCTTGATCTATTCATACTAGGGATGCTCGATATTGGCTTTTCTGCCGATATTCGATATTGTCCAACTCTCAATTTCCGATACCGATATCACCCGATACCGATATATGCAGGCTTTTTACACCTTTTAGAGTGCCAAGAGTTGAAGTTATATTGCTTTATATCTGCCATATAAACTAAAATCGCGTACTCACACCACAGCAAAATGTTATCCAGGAGGAGAAAAGCACGCGAGGAGCATTTAAACACAGTTATGAGTATCTTATAAACCTATACATGGTTCAATGATTTCTACCAGGATCTTATGTCACTTTTATGATACTATACAAGAGTTAAACTCCTGACCACTACGTGCTACATAAGTTTTTACTCCTGAAAGACAGACCGGAACACCTATGGTGAATTACCATTATTTCAGATAGTATACGTAACAGAAGCTATCGCAATATAGGAAGACTCGCTCCGCATAATATCCACGATCCCTCAACGATATTTCATCCAGGCCACTATAATTACACATAAACATGATAATATCCGGAATCATATAGAAATATCACAGCGCCGATTTTTAAAACAGATAGCTTTGGTTTCTGTAGGCTCTCAGAATTTCCAAGCGCTGCAATGCACACAAGCATGGGAACATTTACCGGCGGCGCACCTAGATGTGATAATAACAAATCAACAACAACTACACGCTAGACTCGGTTGGTTGCTAACCCAATGGCTAACAAAGCAAACACTTTAAAGCCGTGAATGATTTTAATATTAAGACGCTAGCACCTTTTTTTTCACCCTCTTGAGCTGTTCCTTCAACTACAATTGGACTTAAGAACTTTACATTAGCACATCCTTCAGGTGCATAATAACCAAATTAAACACATCAAACCAAAAGCTACGCGCCTTAGCTAGCGATTAAGTGTTACGTGCTCTTGTTCACGTATTAAACAATGAAAGGTGAAGTTGCGTTCTCTTATTGGTCCACAGACAGTGTTTACATGTTGGAAGCCATCGTTGCATTTATGTACTGCCATCCAGTGGGGGCATCACCAATAAAATCTAGGCAATCAATGTGTTACATTCCACAATAGGAGATACGTGTTATCGTTGTACCTAACAGTTTTTAAAAAGCTCTGCATATACAGTATCGGGTATATCAGGTATTCGCGAAAATTGCGAGAGGATTTTTTTTTTTGGACAATATCGAAGTATCGGCAGAAAAGCCAAATATCGAGTCATCTCCTAGTACCTGCGCAATCAGCATCAAGCCTTTGTCATCAACGTCCCTTTTTTCTCTTCTGTTGTTTTAAAAACACATGAGTTTTTTTTAAAATGTAATTCTTCTCTTCTTCATTCTTGTGCTTTTTAAATGTAAAACATCTTTCCTCCTTTAATAGTTTTCTCTTTTTATTTTATGGTTTTGCAAAAACTTCTCTCCCATAAAAACATTTTTGCAAAGAGAAAGTGGAAAAACAAGCTTATTATATAATATTGCATAGTTACTGTGGTGTATTGGGGTTGTGTATTTTATTGTTTTATTCATACCTGTTGTGTAAATGGTTACATGATACTGAAAACTGTATACTTTTAATTACACTGTATATGTAAAAGCCTACCCGAGGGATTACAACGGATCAAGAAATTACCCAAATAACTATAAACATTTCTCATTCCACCGCATCATTTCAATGCTCTGTATATGTTCAATTCATTGTCCTATCGAATACAATAATTAAATCCATAAAACATGCAATGATCCTATATGGGTAGCCATAAGACATGAGGGCCAGACTGAACTGTCCTACGTTTTCCTCCCCAGTCCCCCGGCTGTTTCTT